CTACGTATTGAATTTACCTTTCTTAGGACTTTTATTTATGCGTTACTTGTATCCGCAGTCACTCGACTCATTATTTATGGAATCCTTACGTCATATTGATCATACTTATATTAAAAAACATAAAAATGATCAAGACTTGCGGCCGGCATATACTCCTGCCTTAGAACGCTACGAATATAATATAAATTATTGGAATGAGATGAAGCAATATTTATTTCATACCTTAAATCAAATCAAAGTAACGATGATATTGTACTTAATTTCATTGATACCATTTATTGGCGTGTTAGTTTACCCAATCGCGAGTGCTTACGCTCTGGTAAACTCATTAGGTTATAAACCAGCCATTGTTGTGGGTATCTTGATGTATATAACACCAGGTACAAAACCTATTGCTATGGTGTTTTTAGAAAGTGTATATTCTTCCAGAACTTTGATGAGGGAATTATTGGAACCTTATTTTGGAAGAATTAAATTTGATAAAGAAATTAAAAGGAAATGGTTTAGGGAAAGAGAAGGGATATTATTTGGTTTCTCTATTGCATTCTATTCTTTAATAAGATTGCCATTGGTTGGAATGATGTTTTATGGTATTGCTCAGGTAATTTATATTCTTTTTAGATTTCTTACATTATATATTCCATTGATTCTAATAGAAAATTTTCTACAGGCTGCTGCCGCTTTAGTACTTGTTAAGACCACAGAACCACCACCACCGCCAGGTTTTGAAAATACATACAAAGTAGAATATCATTATATAGATCCTAGAACAATGAAGCAAAAAGAACAATGAAAAAAAAATGAATAAATTTGTATTAAAATTTTTGGCTACCGTTGAACCTCCCAAAATTGATATCAGCATTTGAAGGTTGTTAGATTTGAAAAACAATACAATCTAATAGATTTATATAGCAGAAATAGACATTGAGGATTAATTTTTATCGAGATTGGGAGGTTCAACAGTACATGTATAAATGATAACGTCATAAAAATTAAGTGATGGAAAAGATTTGCTCCAAAAAGTGTAAGATTAACGTCAAGGAAAAAAATTTACAATTCACATGTTTAATAGAATATAATCGAACGTATCTCTTTAAATTTTCATTCTTTTTTTTAAACAAAACGAAAATAGAGAAGGATAAATCACAGCAGATCGACCTCGAAATAGGTCGGAATTGATCAATTTCTCCAAAAATCACCCAAAATTTAACTATAGCCTACGTACTAAATAAAGTTGCTCAGATGATAATTTTGCTGTAGTATAGTTAGCTGGTATTATTGCTTAATGCCGTCCTACGTAGCTAAATTTTTGTCGATCTGCTTAATTTTAGTTGCTTCGCTATTTATCCCATGCAGGGTTGTAAAATTACCGTAAGTTACCATGGTAAGTTACCGGTCAGTTACCATGGTAAGTTACCGGTAAGTTACCATGATAAGTTACTATAGGTTACCAAAAAACTAGTGCTACGAAATAGTGCTTAATGGTAACTTACCACGGTGACGGTAAGTTACCACTAACAATCCTGATCTATGGTTAAGGGTACAACAGAAATAAGTTAAGATTTTATTTATAATTCGGGCCTACCTTTATAATGTCGGATCAAAATTATCCTTACTAAATAATCATTTTGAATTTAGGCTAGTAACATTCATTAGTTGGAACAGATTTAAAAAAATGTCTAAAAATTTTTTACATATTTTTTTTTTTGATATAACAAACTTTTCAAGATAAAAATTGAGCAATTGATGGGACGGGACATCAAATATACAAGGATTTTTTGCCATCTCTATGGTAAGTAGGACGCCTAAAATCATGCCAGGATGCAACCTTTTCGAATATTATTAAATTTTCTTTTTAACCAATCAGATTACATGTATATAATTTTATAATACGTACTGTATATAATTAATAAAGGCATGTCAGAGGTGACATACCAATTACTATCGTGTCAGGTTCCTTATCTCTAAGCATGGTCTGTTGGTATAATTTTAGGAGCTTTTCATGGTGATTAATTCTATACTCCA